GGGCTCGGCCGAGTGTCGGGCGGAGCTGCAGGAGATGCGGGAGAAGATGGAGGGAGCTAAGGTGGTGTGGAGGGACGACCGCGTGGCCCTGGAGGAGAGAGTGGAGAAGGAGCGTGAGAAGCAGGAGCGTCTGAAGGAGGAGAACCAGCTGCTGCTGCTGAGCCTGACTGCTGCCAACCACTCAGTGGACCAGTGTCAGCAGGAGAATGTGAGTGTCAGGATGAAGCTGTAGAACCAGAACCAGAACCAGAACTTTCAGATTCAACCTGTTTTTGGTCACGGCTTCAGATATGTTTGTTCGGCAACAATGTAGCGCCACCTCTAGCTACATCCGAGTGAGGCTAAAAGTAGCCTCATCGCGGACACCTTTTAACACCTACAACATGCTAACAGTCGTTACATACGCCAGCTTTAGCTTTGTACTACCAGATGCTAACAGTTGCCACACTGATAATCGGTTGTACAAATTCTGGGCCAACTTTTAGATACCATCAATGTTAGCTTCTTCAAAATGTTTTTTTTTTTTTGGTTTTAATATTTGTAATATTACACTGAACTCTACTGATCTACTGTTACTGTGATGCTAACAACCGCTGCATAGTGAATGACTTCTAACTCAAAATCCACTTCTAGTCCAGGTTCAGTTCTAATCCTGGTCCAGTTGTGTTTTTCCAGTGAAGTGAAAGTGAAAACAAACTTCAGTTTGACTTGAAGTGACCTCTCCTCACCTTTCTCTCCTCCCTTCCTCCCACATATCTCTTCTTTCTTCTCCCCTTCTGCCACCTTGATTCCTGTCTCCTGTGTCCTTGACTCCTACCTGTTCTCCTCACTCCAATCTTCTCCTTTTGTCACTCATTCCCTATCCCACCTTTTTTCCTCTCCCCTACTTTTTTCCCTCACCTCCCCGACTCTTCCCCCCTTCCCTGCTCCCTCCTCATTCTCTCCTCTGACCGTACCTCCTTTCTTTCCTACACCTGTGGTGTATCTTGCTCTCCTTCCCTTTTCTCTCCACCCCTTTAATCCATTATCTTCCCTCTCTCCTTCTTGCATTCCCTCTCTCCTACCACTCCTTCATATTTCCTCCCGTTTCATCTCCCCGTCCTTCTCTACTCTTATTCCTTAACCCCTTTTCTCCCACATTTTCCTTTTCCTCCTTTGTTTCCTACCACCCTCTAGCCCCACTCTTCTTTCCCCCCCCTCTCCCTTCACCACTATCTCTCTCTCCTCACACCTCTGTCTCTCCCCATCTCTCTCTACCCTCTACTCCTCCTTTAGCCCCTCACATCCCCCTCTCCTCAGCAGCAGCTCCGTTCTTTTACTTCATGTTTTTTCCACATACACATCCTCACAGTTGTTGGTTGGAAAAACTGACTGTTTCCCTCCTCTCCCTCCTCCTCTCCCTCCTCCTCCTCCTCCTCCTCCTTCTTCCCTCCCTCCCCTCTTCCTCTGGTGCTTTATCCTGACTCATTTCTCCACTTCTGTTCCACTCCTCCCTTCCCCTCTCCATCTCTTTTCCTTGGTAAGAAATCCCCACCCACCCACCCACCCCACATCCCCCATGTGACCTAGTCTTTTGCAGCGAGTCAGAGTCAGAGCGTCCTTGACAGCAGATCAGCTGACTTGTGGATCAGCCTATGAAACATTCAATCGATGACTGTCAGCTCTTCATGTTCTCTTCTCTTCCCTGAAGGACATTCCAGATCCTTGAGGTAGTGGTAATGCAGGAACTATTTTTAGAAAAATGATCCATGAATGTTTGTGGAGATCAGGAAGACATGGATCAGTTCTGTGACATCAATTCAGTATCAGCACAGTCCTGATCAAAAGCAGAACTGGTCCAAGTATAACTGCAGTGTTAGAACAAAGGAATGTTCCAGAAACAGTCTGCAGAACCGACAGCTTGGAACAGTCCTGTTCAGTCTGGATCCGTCAGGTTTGGTAACAATGTCAACGTCCTCTCGTCTTATTCTTCTCTGGTTTACCAACTCATTTGAATCTTGTGAATGTCATTACTGCCCCCAACTGTCTGGTAAATCTATCTCATCATAGAGGACGAATGAATGGAAGTGTTTGTTGTTGTTGTGACTGACGGACGACCTGTTGATTCATCCTGCAGCTCCTCCTCAACACCAACATCAGTGTTCTACAGGAGAACCTGGAGCAGCTGCACCAGGCACAGATCAATTTGACCAACCAACTGGAGCTGAAGGAAGGTAACACACACACACAAACACACACACACACACACAGACATTGTCATGTTGGTATTTCTTACAGTGTGGAAAAGTTTAAAAGGGTAAAAGAACATTCTTGATGAATTTCCTCTGATAAGATTGTTGAGCAACAGTTGGTGCAGAAACAGAGGCCTGATGGGAAATCCTGAACTGAAGGTGACTTCCTGCTGGATGGAGAAGATATAAGAGTAGCACTAACACAAGAGGGAGCTCTACACTATGGTTTTAATCCTTCTGAGCAAAGTTAACACAGTGTGTTTTACACACTGACATTTCACATCGCCACCTGATGGACAAACAGTAGAATCAATGATGGAGGAATGTACTGTAATCAAAACACTGTAGTTACTGTTTTTACACTGTGTGAGTCTGTGTGCGTCTGTGTGTCTGCGTGAGTGTGCTGGCAGCCAATCATCATGTCATTCCAATCATTCCAATCAAACTGGGTGTTTCCTTATAAGTAAAAGCAGCTGCAGATCTGAACTGTTTCCACTTCCCTGCGCACACGCATCCTAAGCAACTGTTACTATGCTGAAGAACTTTCATTCCACAAAGCCACAACATCAGGACAGTCACCAGCCAGTAAACTAGTCAGTAAATCAGTCAGTGAACCAGTCGGATCCTCTCTGAAAGTCTCTGATATCTTTTAAACACAGTCACATGGTTCTGTTGGCTGTGAACTGAATGACCTACATCATCTGACCTGACCTGAGATCTGTCCTACTGTCCAAAGAGCACATCGATGATCTGCAGCAGAACCTGACCCAGATGGCCCATGAGACCAAGTCCTGTGACAGTTTGAAAGATGCTGCTCAGAGCCAAATGGTGGCAGCACAGATCCAGACCAAGGCCTGCCAGTCCAGTCAGCAGTACCTCCAGAAACAGCTGTGAGTGTGAGCCAGGCCAGGGCTGTTGTTGTGTATCTGTCGTTGTTTACCTGTTGTCTGTGTTGTTACAGTAACAAGTGTAAACATCCTGAGAAGACCCCAGAGGAAGAGGTCAAACCTACACCCTTGGGCAGTAATTCGTCATCCACACCTCTCAGTGGAATCTCTGTTCTGGCACTGATCGTCTGCAGCACTCTGCTCCTGCTAACCTGTGAGTCTGACACTGTAACAACCACTGTCACCGTGGTAACCACTGGTTTAGACTCCTGGGATAAATAAAATGTTCACAACTACACTCATGAACTGTAACCAGGTCACCAGTAACTAACCAAATGTAGCTCAGTTTACCAGTAGCTAACCAACTGTTACCAAGTTAACAGTAACTAACCAAATGTAGCCAGGTTACCAGTAACTAATCATTTGCCTGTAACCAACCAACTGTAACTAAGTTAACAGTTGTCACTCTTTTCCAGGAGCTCATTTTACATCTCTTTCGCGGGAAAATATT